AAAGTTCTACAATATGCCCTTTTACCATTATCATTTTTATTAAACACAATTAACAATCTCATAATAATAAACCTAAATAAAAGCGAATAATTTATGAAGACATATGTTTAACTATATTTTTTATGAACAGATAATATCTTCTTGCAAACATATTGTAACGTTGGATTACGTTGAATCTGAGCCAAGTGTATTGAAGACAACTGATACAAATTAAATAGATGATTGATTCGATTCTTTAAATTTTTAATTGTTCCACAGTATTATTTCCGCGAATCATTTACTAATATTGACGCGATATGTAATTTGTTTGCAGCTGGGGCCGGTGACCAGGTCTTCATTCAAACGCTGTCGTCTTGGAAGTCGCAGGTAACTCAGGAGTCTTCTTAAAGATCCACGATTGCAGTACATACGCTAGAAAAAAATGAATCACATTAGTTTCCAATACAGGGAAATTAAAGTAAAAAAATCGAATGTGAATGCAAACATTTGAAAGCGAATATGAACTTAATTCTGCATTTATATCATGAAATGAGAATTAGACGTAGCTTCGTACGAGAAGTTGAATGCCTCTACAGCAATTGCGAAGAAAAATAATTACCTTTGTTTTTATCTGTATGTACAGAGAATAAACAGCAAAGTGAAATTTCCCTACTTTTCAGGACACTTCTATCAAAGTCATCTGAATGCGGATGTCAGTAATTACATCGGATTTGTAATAATGAGAAGTTATTAACATTGGGATACATTTGAGTAATATCGTTTTATTACAAGATCCCGATTTTACACAACTATGCAAACTGTAAAACTCGTTCGTCAGTAGTAGGGAAATTTGACTTAACCACGTGTTTACTGCGCTTACATAAAATGATAATGTTAATACAAATTTATTGTTACATCTTATGACTGTTGAGTAAACTTCATTGAATACATATATTTTCTAATTATTACTTAATTTCTTACCTGCTCCACACGAAATGCAATGGGAAAATTGAACATATATGAGAAATTAGATGTATTAGAAAATAACGTACCATTATAAAGCATTGAGTAAATAATAATTGATTAATTTTATCTTTCATGTCTGGGGACTGGATTTACTCTTATATTTTAAGAGAAGAATTTAATAAACTTTTCCACATAACATGTTTTTAAACATTCATATTGAAATATTAATTTTCTTAAGATTTTAGTTAGTACTGTATTTAAATAATGTGGTACAAAATGATTAATGAAATAGAATTATCTTTAAAATTCATCGTATCGAAAATGAAAAAAATGCTAATATCCAATAAATTTTATTGATATTGTTTCCATATATGCATCAATATTATAGATGTTTTCATAACTTAAGACTGGATTTTCTAAAGGCGGAAAAGGAGTAGTAAGTTACTAGACTATGATTTCACAAAATATATCTATTTTTCAGGGTACTTCACTCATTGGAGGAAATCGAGCGATCGCCCGTTTTAAAGTTTAAATTGAATCCACTGTCCAATATTTTCTTAGTTCAGTGAGTCTATTCTTAAATTTAGTTTTAGGAACCCAATACAAATCAGAAAGCAAGTTTTGATTTGATGAAATACGAAGTTTTAAAAAATTGTGAAAATTTTTCTCCAGATGATACGATGAATGTTAAGAAATATACCGGAATTTCATATTAACATGTTTTCAAATTTATCAATTAAAATAATAAAATTATACTTTTGAAAGTTAATACTTTTGAAGAAATTAATGTCTTATAATTCTTGGAGCATGATAGCGGACATTTTTACAACTGCGCGCGAATCAAGGGCACAAGCGAACAGCACCACAAGCTTTTCCATTTCCAGGAAAAGTATACTCAATTAGTAGGAACTTTGTTTAACATCATTTGTTGATTACGATAAAATAATATTGAGTACTGAAACAAATCACATTATTATCTCTCAAATATGGCAGCTTTTCTGCAAAGCAAGGACAGCAACAAATGTTGCCTTAATTGCAAATGTAATATATTAAGAGATTATTGGACAAAAAATGCACTGCTATGCTGAAACGTAATGCTCACTTTTACAGACGATGATAGCGTGCAGCAGCAAAAGCTTCTCATCTATTGAGTATAAGAAAGTATTTTCCATTATTCTTAATCTCAGATTGGTCAGAGACCAAACTACTGAATCCTCACCGCCAATGTCTTTTCGCAACACAGATAAGCATAAGATCCTCTTATGTGAGGGTAACTTAACAAATACCTTGTATTTAATTATACGAGGTATATTATATTATATTATATTATATTATATTATATTATATTATATTATATTATATTATATTATTCGTATTGGAATAACAGACAATGCTGCAGAGAAATATAGGTACGAAGCGTTATCAAGTAATGAAACATAATTGGACTGCACATTACAATGAGAAATAGATAATGCAATAATTTGAATTTGTTCCAATACGTTTGTGAGAGTTGTATAAGATTGAATCATAGCCTAGTACAGCGCAATTAATATTGCTGGTAACGCTCCTGTTTTTAGATGTTATTAAACTGTTATTTGAATAAAAGATTTTTCTTGCTTGATTAGTCACATATCCAGTCTCCTGTGTAACAATATTGTTTCAACCCCTGAATTACAGTATTCGGAACTATGATGTATTTATGAATTGAATCTAGAGCAAAGTAGAATATTAATATCCGACATCATTTCAACACGTGATGAAAACAGTGATTTTAGAGTTTTCAATCATAAAATAAAACTTTTCATTGACTTTCCAAAATTTTCTGAAATCTTGAGTTAATAACGAATCGAATGAGACACTTCGCAGCATCGTGGGTTCTCTCACAATTTTACCCCATTACCGATGTGTTTGAGAACAAATGATACAAACGCCTAGGGCATTTAGAAGGAGCAGTTGATAACGTTTTGCCAATGACCACGTGGAGGGAAATTTCATGTAATGACCTGATTGTTAGTTAACTCTTCATGCATTGGTGTTCGGCAGGTACACGAAATATCTGAGCCTGAACGTGATCTGCTGAACGTAAGTGTGCAGTAGTTGCAAAGCAATCAAATGTCACTGGTGTAACTTAGTGACATAAAATTCTACACCTTATATTTATTGACCAGAACATCATATTCGATCATCCTACATCCCCTTGAAGTTTGTAACTGAGACACCTATACAGGTACCTGAGGAACTATGAAACTTTGAAAATAAGCTCTTAAAACAATTTTAAGCACATTTTCACAAATAATGTTGTGTAATGTATTGTGCTGTGTTGTGTAATATACAGAGTGCCCGGAGAGAAAACGTCGAAACGTCGAAAATAAGCTCTTAAGATAATTTTAAGCATATTTTGTCTAATTAACTACTTAGATATTCTGAATTTCTGAGCCGCAATAAGCACATAAAAGTTGGTTTGACACAATGCAAAAATTTGCATTGCAAAAGCATATAAACGCTCCAGAAACATGTAAATTGTTATTATTTACCAAAGAAATTAATATATTTGTTAAGAAAGAAAAATAACAGGGAAATAAAGTACCCAATTTACACAATTCGACTGCTCTTTTTAATTTCTGTATTAATTTTTCTTTCTGAACAAATATATGCATTTCTTTTGTAAATCATAAACAATTTACATATTTCTGGAGTATTTATGTTTTTGCAATGTAAATTTTCGCATAAAAAGTGTTTTTTTCAAATCAACTTTTGAGTACTTACTGCGGCTCAGCCATTCAGAATATCTAAGTAGTTAATTAGACAAAATATGCTTAAAATTATCTTAAGAGCTTATTTTCGAAGTTTCGACGTTTTCTCTCCGGGCACTCTGTATATCACACAACACAGCATAATCTCTCTCATTGAAGGTCAGTATCAAACTGTTGCGTGCCTGTATTACCTCCTTCTAACGGTCAACTTGGTATTGTCACTTCAACGCTTTTACCTATTTTAAATTAGTAATACTTCTGAATGTTTGGTTTCAGGTGAAGGCATTTTAAATATCAATACAGGGTGTTTTTTTGAATGACACTACCGAATGTTCTTCAAAGGACTTCATCCTTGAAGGGATTTCATTGTTAAAGGGAATGGATGGGCGAGGAGATAGAAAGGATTGCGTCACAAAATACAATGAAATTCATAGGACACAGAAATTATATTTTACTTCTGGTTGACATAAAAATGAGATGACAGACTTGTGCGCATCAATACGAATATATTTACAAATACATGCACTTCATGGCAGGCCGAAAAAAATATTGAATCCGATTGTTTCTCGTGCGCGACTGACACAGGCATTTATTCAGATAACGAATTGACGCGAAGCATTGCTGCCCACCAGTGCTTTCGAGTCAAATTTCTGACACGCGTTTTCGGAATAACTACTAGACGAAATGCTCTCGAGCGTTCTGCAATCGTTTCGAACAGAAAGCCGAATCTTGGGATAAAGTTCACATGGTGAGAAGAACGGCACGAAATAGCGTAGTATATTCAGAACACGAAACCACAAAATTCCGCGCACTCGCACATCAATAGAGGACAAACACAGATGAGAGCAGCGAGCAACGTGCCCAGCAGTGTCTCTGCAAAACCAAGTATGGAACCTCCCTCTGGGAAGGATATGCAGGCCCGTAGCCTCTTCAAGTTACCAGTTCATGAAACAAGACAACCATGACCAGTGTACGCGCCAGCAACCTCAAAGAAATGGTTTCTTTGGGATGCCGCTAGAGGCGATTCGACTAGAAGGTCCTCACTCGCGCGGAGCGCAGAGGAAACGCCCACGCAGACGGGTCGCGGAGGAAGCCGAAGGGAGAGCGGAAGACGAAGACTGTTTGTTCTCCTCCAAGCCAAGGAAAAGCTGACAGCACCGAGCCCTCGGGCGTCGGCAGTTGACGACTGGGTGAGTGCACCCAGACTACACCATACTCATCTCCTCCACGCGACCTCGCCCTCGCCGCTGATTGTCACCGCACTGGGCGGCCCGCGCCGCGGCGCCGCGCTCGCCCGCCGCAGCCGCCTCGGCCCCGCCGCCGGCTGTTTGTCAGGTGGCGCGGGCGGCGTTGGCGTTGGTGTTCTCGCCGAGGCGCATGGCGGCGCGGCCCACGACCGCGTAGCCCGCGCCAGCCGAGTGCGCCAGCATCATGGCGGCGCCGAAGTACTGCAACAACAGAGCGCGCGCGCGCGCCCGCGCGGGTTGACGGCGGCGCCGCGAGATGGCGGGCGCGGCGCCACGCGGTGCGTTGGCTCGGCGCCCGGGACCGCGAGCGCGGACGATGATGCCCTTTGGTGCGCGAGTGCTGGGCGGGTGCGACGCGAGTACTTCTTGCAACCACCCTCATTCTCTTGTTTGGCCAAGTTTATGTGAAATACATTACATACTAGAGTGTGCACGTGAAGATGTGGGAAAAAATATGTTTGGTATTCTATCAAAATTTGAAGTATGTTTCACCGGAATTACATGTGTATGAATTACTCTAAAAAGGATAAAATGAATAAGATCATAATATTGTAAATGCTTGTTTGAACTAATTGATGTATGTTTCTATTTATGTTGATCAAGTTGAGCATTACGAGACAATGCAAAACATGAAAAAATATGGAATTGTATTATTCGTAAGATGTATTTATTTTTTAACTATATCGTCAATAAAAATAGAAATAATAGTGACTCGAATATCTATAACCGCTAATGTTTAATACATTGAACCAGGAAAGTCTCTCTGCGCTGAGCTGAATCAGACCGTCCTCTTAAAAACGGCGTTCATGTGGTAGCAACCCGATCTCTGGGGAAACAAGGGAAGTGGACATCACTTTCAGCATCTGTTATGATGTGGTGAGTACACAAAATATGTTTTCACGACGAAGCTCGTGCTACCAACATAATTTCGAAGACTCCTGGCGCGCTGTATATTCCTTTTGTTTCGTACAGAATGGAGGCCATGGAAAGCGCACACAAATGTACAATGTGAGAAAGCGAAACATTTAGAAAGTTAGTGATTTATTACTACACTGAAGATTTTATATTTGGCTCATGTTAATGAGGGAATATCAAGGGGTAATGGGGTAAATATCAAGGGGTTATCAAGTTTGCAAACTAAAATGACTTATAAAAAAAATTGTCTAAGGCATTCCATAGTGAATTTTTCGTTTAATTCCCTTTTAGTTTTAATTATGAGTTAAAAGTTTTACGTTCTTTTACTCTCAAAAATACCTCTGTTAATCGAAGGCGATGCCAATGAAAGGAAGAGAAAATGGACGGAATCGTATTTACTAGAAGAGAATTCTCTTCAGCCATGCTAAATTTACGAGTACGTCTGTAGAAAACGCGGTATTGACACGGAATGACGAAGTCGAATTGAGACGAAGTCACTGAAAACATACGCGATTCGAACTAAATTTATAATCACAACAGAGACATGGCATGATAGAAAGGAATAAAATGTATGTGAAAGTTTATATTTTGGACTGATAGATCACCTAAATAATTCTTTAGCAAATTCTGTGATCCAGTCATCAGTAAAATAAAAAAAAATATACAAAATTCCCCTTCTTGTTGATATGTTTTATGCAATATGTTACCCAATAATACTTCCCAACTACAGCTGTTGAAAAATACCAAACACATGATGTGTAAGTGAACTTTGAAGAACAAGTTTTAGCGCTCTTCAAAAGCTCCTTTTTATTAGTGCACCGTGCAGTGGGCAATGGTTTTTCTACTCACTGCACACACAGTGTAAACTACAATTATCGTGAAAAGAACACGTGCATTTTGTGAATTAACTCATACGTATCACGTTTTGTTTTTGGTATAAAAATCGTAGGGCATCATCGTAATAAGTTTGTCAGCATCTAAACTTTGACAGAAAATACAAAGCAATCAGCAAATTACAAGCAAACGATTTTAAAAGAGATGCGCACCCAGATTCTCTTAATTATACGTGTTACAGTGTAACCTCAACTCGAACTCCGATATCACAGACTCCTAGTTAATTCGAATTTCATTCATTCTTGTCTTCTACGCGGTGTGCGGTAACTCAATGCGCAAAAATTCAAAATATTTGGCAACTATAATTATTTTTTACTGAGAATCGAATTATCTAGGAGCCAACGTAATAATAAAAATGTTTAAAAGAAATAATATTTTTGTTTTGTTTTTGAAATCCTATTAAATGTACATGGATACAACACAACGAACATTTTTCTCAGAGAGAAATTAAAAAGAATTCAATACATCTTTTCATGTTCAATATAAATAATTTCAAAAAACTATTTTTTCTGTCACTCATTCGCTTGTTGATGATATGACAAAAAATATTCACATACATTCATTCCAATGAAAAGAGTCTAAAGTGTAAAAGTTGTCATTGCTTCTGTGATATAATTTCTCTAAAATGTCCACGATATTGCGTTGCAAAACTACCTCTTTTCCATGTGAAACTAATCACCAGACAATTATTTTATTGCAAGCAATAACATCGCACTGAAAGTAATACATGTAAGAGATATCTTGTTTAAAAATCTCCATTCACATTCTCTGCGGGAATTATATCAATATTCAAGGAAATATTTTAAGTGAAATTTAAGAAAAAAATTTTACTCTTATTTTGAGAACTCATCTTACGTAGCATTTAGTCTTATGCAGCCTTATGTAGTATTTAAATTCAACATGAAAAGAAACAAAGTATTTTATCACTTTCATTGATCAAAATTTGTATTGGACATTATAGTAATTTAACCAAGGTATTTCACAAAATGGAAATCCTTCTCTTTTAAAAAGCGAATCTATTATACTGGGTGAACATTTGCGGACGTGCAAAAGCATCGCGTTACATCATCTATGAAGCGTTTCTGCTTGGCCTCTGTGCAAATATAAGACATTCTTGATTAGGCTGTTAAAGTTGAAGGTCCACTTCATGCTTCACACTGTTAAAGATTAGAATTTGAGAGAACGTCCAACATTCACTATATCATAGCACCCTTCTTCCTACCTACTGAAAGCCCTTTGCGCGCGAAGAGGCCATGCAAGATTCACCACAGCGCCAACCGCCAAAGATACGAACGCGTTTAGCGGGGAGCTCCAAAGCACTCTTACCAAGCCCCGTTCCCAGGTAGGAGAGTAGCCAGGGATATTCCGGTAACTTGCTAATACTTTTGTGATATAATCTTATTTTTCAAAATCTTATGGAGTTATTGTATAATTGTCTCAATATACACACGATTAATATTTTAAGAATTTAAGAATGTCTCTAAAATGTCAAAAGGGACGATATCGATATTTGGAATTGGCTTACAGCTTGCACTTGTATTTTCAAATCGAATTGTAAATCATTATGTAATCTTCTTGTAAATGCAGAATAGCCATTTCCTTATTTCATTCAAATTCGTAAAATAAGCTGAACAAAAACTGAGACCGTTGGAAGATTTTAGTATTAAGTCATACCGATGTAATGCAATGAAAAAAATGTTTCATTAAATTCTTCTACTTAGTACTTCATTAAATTACATGAAGCTAGAACATACATATAAAAAGAAGTAAATAAAGGTATCTCGTTACTTGAGCGAAAATTTGAATAAATTATAAGTCAAATAAAAGTATTTTTACATTATTTATTTCCTGTACTAAAGAGCATTATTGAAGAAACATTTCACAACTAATGAGTAGTCGATTTCTAGTATGTATTCATGTTCAATCGAGGAAAACATTTGAAAAACTGCTTCAATATTATTTTATCGCTCGCACTGCGTATGAAAGCATATAATAATACCCGTTGTAGAATCTAGAAATTAATTTTCATATCTTTGTTTCTCGCAAATATTTAAAGTCGGTATGGAATTTGTAAATGATGCAGCATATGGCAACATGTATAATACTCACTCACATTTTATTCATTTTAATTTGCTACATTAATGCAAATTATAATATTGCTGTTAATTGTGATTACAGTCGCCCAAAAGTGTATGCCGAAATTCAAAATACACATGATTGTATTCAAATACAGTTTTTAAAACAAATATGAATAAAAAGCATTGTTACTTTCTTGCTTTTCTGTCATTTTCTCTATAGAGAGACATTTAAAAACATAGGTTGGACTAAGAAACAAGTATCATATATTACTTATGAATGCTATTTCGTGATTGTGAAAACCGACCAGATTTACCCGCTGGCTACTCTTTTACCCAACAGACATGCGGGTCACATTCCTGAAAAAGAAAAAAGAAAAAAGCATTTTCGGCGAGCGCGACATGGAGTAGTGCTCCGATCATCTCCCATGCATGAAGGATCGCCATGTTGTCACAAGCTTTATTAGTTCCCGAGCTGCGAGCCCCGGCTGATTGCTCCGCGCTGCAGACTAGGCGTCGCGATGTGGCGCGGTCAGCCCCCTCCCTCGCGTGCTCGCCCTCTTTTGTCAAGCTGCCTGATGGAGTCCCCTAATGTCACCATTTCCGACGGCCAGAATTAAACCCTTACATATTGATTTCTTCATTGTGCGGCGAAGGAAGGTCCATGGCGGTTGGGATATAGTGGACTCCATTGTACTCAAAGTTCAGATACTTCGGAGAATGGGAAGCGATATGTTTCAACTCTTTTAATATACATTGAAGCAAGAAAATTTGCAAATACATCACATTACTCTAGTTAATAATATAGTATTATAATTTTAATTTTAGCTGCTACGTGTTCTGCACACCGGACAGCAAACGTTCCTGAAACAAATATCAGGGAGGTCAAAATATCTTTCAGAGATAGGTGAACTAGTTAAATTGAAAGAAATTATTTTCTTATTTGGAAAGTGACGCAGGATTCTCCATCCGAATCAATTTAATGACTAACTCAATTCTTAAGATTACTCCTGAGGAAGGAACGGCGAATTGTGAAGCATGAATTCAATAAAGACGGTGGAACTATTCTACATTTCATATGAGGATAATATGTACAAAATGCGAGAACACTTAACTAAATTATTTACACAAACAACTCATGTTCACTTCACGAGTGAAAGGGGTTAACATTTACCCTTTCGCTCGCACAGTGAACACTTCAGCCCTACGTTTTGGTAATACATTGCCATTAATATAATAATACAAGTGTATACTATACTTGTGTAGTAGAAACCAATGAGCGCAAAATTAGAACTGTTTCCATGCAGAGCAGAAAATCATTAATTAAAAATCGTAATATGTTACTTTTTAATGTTAACTGATTTATTTTGAGATGCACATTAAAAAGAATTCTAGGAGATATTGTTTTTTACAGAAATATGTTTTACAAGGCTCATCCTTGAAATATTGATGTTAATCATTTGCAATGAACTTACACATCTTATATTAAATACCCAAAGTAGTTACAACAATGACCATTTCTGAAACGAAGATCTAGTTAAATTTTTGGTTCTAAGAAGCTAATAGGTAGGCAACATGTGACACAGCGAGCCCTTTGCCTTCGATGCCAAACGCATTAAGCATACGGATCAGTGACAATCTATGTCGAAAAGCCATTAAGACTAAGGAACATTCATCGTGAGAGCTAAGATTACTTCACTAGTAGTGGATTCACATTCTACCATTTAACTAATGAAAATATACAATATCTATTGAAGAGTGTCAAACGTTTATTGGAGGATACATGAACGTTACAACCACCAAGCAAGTCTCACATAGAGCCTATCTAACAGTAAAGCAAGACGGTGGAACACCACGCACAGATAGAACATCCAACAGTTAGACATTCAGACGCCTCGCGACACGATCTGCTCTACCACTGTACAAACATGCTTTGCTACACATCTGAGAGCATGCAGCTAGTGCATTCAGCGCGCGGCGGGCGACGCGCGCGGTGCAGACACACAAGAGAGAGAGAGAGACAGCCAGAGAGACGACCGGGCGGACGAGCGCGGCACGGCACGGCACGGCACGGGCGACGGAGGCGAGCGCGGGCGTGCAAGCGAGGCAGCGTGCGAAGGCGCTAGCGGCCCAGCAGCAGGCCGCAGACGCAGCCGGCGGCGGGCAGGCCCAGAGAGCAGCCCAAGCGAGACACGACACTCCCACACAGCAGGCTCCGAGCGGCGCCCACCGCCCGCCCCCACGCGCCCCACCCGCCGAACCGCGAAATCAGACGCAGGGCTGACCCCCCAGCTAGCGATACGGCTCTAATGCCTCTCAAGACATGGAGGGAAACCAAACAGGTTTCTCAGATATTTTCTTTTAAGGAGCCGCATTTTCGTTATGGAATTATCGACTTGGATTATTAAACGAATATGAAATTTCATTGGGAATGTACTTGAAGAAAAATAAGGTAATATAATGTATTTTGTTACTTGAAATTGACAAAATAAAACAACGAAAAAAATCACGTTTATCAAAAAGATCAACATTATTCGGGATTAGAATGTAATGGAAATAAAATATTAGATAAATACTGGTAAAAATTTTCTCTGTTTACCAACCGCGTCCAAACCTCTCTTCCAAAAGAATTAAAAGTTTAAAACCAATAATTCGAAAAAGTAGGCACATCGGCCATTGTGATACGTATGAAATTTTATTTCGTAGTTGGTCTTTCAAGAGAGGGCAAGTGCTCGGAAAAAAAGCGCCCTGTGCTTCAGCCCTGCCGCTCCCCGCGGCGGCGTGTGGTGGGCGGCGGCGGCGGCGGGGCGGGCGCCGCGGCGGGGCTGCCGTACCTGGTGGCTCGGCGCTATATGTACGTCTGCTCGCTGCTGTCCTCCCTGCTGGGCCGGTGGTGGTGACGGCGGAAAGAACATGACGAGTAGTAGCGGCTCGCCGCGAACTTCTGGAAGACACAGTGCAACGCTGCGGAAGCGACATTTCGACACCAGGACACACCGAGAGCCCGCACAAGCGGCGCGCTTTGGATGGAGCAGCTGGCAAAGTTTCGTTAAAACGTTTGCTTTCATTTGCTAAATCCTAGGACAAACGCTAGTGATTTACATATAAAGCAGCTCTTACATTAAACAAATATAATTCGTTTTGTTATTTCCACGCAGATACGAATTTTCTCAACCAAATAACGTCGACTTTGTAAATGAGGAATAAAGGGAAAAACTTGATTACCACTAGTGCTTCAAATATCTCACACAGATATTCAATGGCTTACTCGTACAGGGTAATTATATCATCGCTTTAGAAATTCTCAATGAAAAGAAAAAAAAAACGTTTAAAATTTATATTGTATTTTATTTCATTTGCTTGTAGTAGAAATGCAATGTGATAAATTCAATAAACATTACTTGCTTTTCATCCAACAATCCGGTGATTACGTGGTTCTGGTAAAAATGAAAGCGCCTTTAAATGGGAGCATTGAAGAGTAGAACAATTCTGATGCAATGCTTTGATTCGGATCGGGCTTGGAGTGCATATGAAAAGGTTCTTCGATTTACGACCGTTCATTGAAACTCGAGAACAACGAGCGTCCGCTAAGGACAATTATTACGCCCTCACGAGTGAGTGACAATGAATTGTCAATAAAATCGCAGCTGTAGCAAGAAAAATAGCGCTGCAGTAGAGCTGAGTTATTACACCGCACGTTTATTGCTCAAGCGGCTACTGATTTCAAGTGGAGTGCTTTGGTGTTTGAGATTCAGACTGAAAATATGTTTTCACAAGGTGGACTGCTGTTGCCATTATTTTCAACTAAATAGTTTTCAAGTAGGCTATGCTGTTTAAAAATTACAATTCATTACAATTTCATTTTGAGCAATGTTATAACCGAAAGTTATACATTTTTATTATTACTTGACGGCACATTTCTTGGAACCTGAATTCTACAACACGTGTTTCAAGGGACTGGAACTGCAATTAATAATACATTATTTATTAATGACTTCAGTGAATGTATTTAATAAAGTTAAAGTAAGTTAAAGCATTGCAAATACCTGATATGCATTTACAATTGATGACTTGACAACAATCTAGAAACGTGATTTCTATATGATTCACACTTCAAAGCTAAAGACACTTTTGATTATTGTAATAAGTATACGTTATGTACAGTGACGTAACTAAAATTCTCAGAAAAAGTATAAGAAGCAAGATTTTGTAAAATAAATCTTAAAATTTTATTTCAAATTTACAACATGAATTTCTTTTGATTCAGAAATTAACTTTTTGTTTTCATCATTGAAGAACATAAAACAAAAAGATAAACATCAATGTGATTAATGAAATTCTCGTATATTTAGGACTTGCTGCGAGTCCTAGGTTGATATGATGACTAAATAATATCATCCATTAAAAACAGTGGAGAGCAGTCTTAGATTGTGATCTATTTTTAAATACCCCAAAATTTGAGAAATATAATGAAAAGAAATCTGAGTTAAATCAGAAATCTGAGGGAAGTAAGATTTTAAGAGCCATTACAAAAGAAGGTTCCCACTTTTTATTGTATATTTGATTTAAAATAATGTCCAATATTCAACCGATTTGTTAAAGATGATGAATTTACTCACTCACTCATCTCGATTTCCCTTCCATTCGTTCCAATTTTAGGTTACAATGTTTGGAAGTACGAGTTCCGTATATTCTAATTTCAAGGCATAAAAAGATTATCAAATTCTCAATTACGTAAATAACTTCAATTTATAATCAAGACACATGACTAGAGTAAGCTCAATTCTGTCAATTTACTGACGGCCAAAATAATAATAACAATAATAATGATTGTAATAATAATAGTAATAATAATAGTAATAATAATAGTAATAATAATAGTAATAATAATAGTAAGAAATGAATGCTTTTTCACGAAATAGGGGGGGGGCATCAAATTATAATATTCTCCTTGGGGTCAGAGCCCAAATACCGGGCTTAAGTAGAGTAATGAGAGAGATCTTTTGACAAAAAGATTGTAATGAGCGGGATCATAACTGATATTCTATTATGTTGAAAAAGGTTGTACGAGTTTAATAAGATAGTTATGATATCCGTCTACAATTATATATGTGTTATGCCTGAATACAACGATATGTGAATGGTTCATTGCGAGGCAAATCTATTCAAATTAATCCTTTTCTTGAATTCCTAGAATTATTGGTTCTTCCAAATACACTGGTAGATAAATACAAGTTCATAAAATTCTTATATAGAATTTAGTAATTATTAAAAAAATGTTACGGTTGAATAAAGTACAATTGAAGGATTGATAGCAAAAATAAGATAAGGATAAATTTCACATTTGAAGATGAATATAATTTATTTTTTTCGTTGTTAAAGAAATTGAAAGGTTTAAACAATTCTTTGAAACAACAAACACAATATATTTGCTTTCAATTATCTAGAGATAGGGTACAAAAGGAACAGTTAGGCTTCAGTGTTCCTCTTCTAATTTGTAAATGAGCTCACCAATTTTGTAGTTAAGCTTCTGCTGCTCATTCTTGGCATCCAAAACACACAATTAACAAGCTGTAATAACTATTAACAAGTTATAAATACAATATTACGGTATAATCAAGACAATGTCATCAATCAATCATACGGCAAAATCAAGGCAGTCTCATCAATCAACTTCATATGTTTTCCTATTTTCTAGTTACCATGAAACTTTGCTCTGCTCGAAAAAAATATTTTGAAAAGTATCAGACAAGCACAAAATTATTGATTTACCATAAAATGTACAATTATTAAAATATAAACATTGATATTCTAAATCAATATGTTCAGTGTGCATCTAATATTTCCAATTGAGATTTTGGAGTTTGTATTATATTCACACTACTATTGCATTAAAATATTATTATTTTTAAATTTCTTTGTAGTAAAAATAAATAATTAATAAAAAGGAGTGATTTAGGAAAACCTGTTTTCCAGTCTGACTTCGGTAATGTGTATGTTTAATTACAAGTGAACAAATGTTCCATTACATAATGTACATCTAATAAACAACAACAGTAAGCATCAACATTCTATCGAATAAAGTAATGAAATGAAGTTGGTGAAATTAAAAGGAAAAAAATAATTTGAAGGCTTGACAAATTGGGACTTTATTCTTTTTTGATGACTAATATAAAGAATGTAACGAACAATTTAAATCACATAAAATAGTTTCGCTCGTTTTTTCCGTTGCTGTCCTGTCAGTACCAAGGTCAACGGTTAGTGTGCCGCTCCTGCCACATCTGTCTCTGAGTCTTGAGAGATGTGAACAATTTGTCAGAATGTTTCATCGTCAGAGTACCTCCGCAGTCGCATTCATTTCTCAACATGGAGGAACAGGTTATTTCTGAGTAGCCTTTTCTTAATCTAGCATACTTGATCTCACCGTGGGCAGTAGTCATATGGTGACCATTTACTGATACTCTTTGATAAAGTTTAATGTTGTGACATTGTTATTCCATGTGGTCTGCTATGCTCTGGCGATCCATTTTAAAGCAAATTTTTTTGCGTCTTGAGCCCGTACGGAAATTTTCATTTCTGGTTGATTATTTTCAGCATTTCTTGCGGAAATATCGGCATCTCTATTCCCTGTAATACCTGTGTGCCCGGCGCACCAGATACGCGTAACTGATGTTTCTCGCTTAACTAATTTGTAGCACAGTATACAAAATAATTGGGAGTAATAAGTCTACGGTCAGGTGAATGTCTAGAGCAGTGAAAAGACTAAGCGAGACTTTTGATGACGAATTTTCTTGCATTCGTAGTCTTGCGATATCACGACGCTTGCAATGGTGTATACAATTCAGTTGTGTATACGATCTCTACATCTGGAAAAGTTCAAGTTAATGAATGGGTCTTCAGTCACGAATGACCTTCCTACTCAATGTTCTGTTTTGCTCCGTCCGTGTAAATGATTAAATGATCAGCCATATTCTCTTCAAGAATTTATCACAATATTATTTTTAAATCTGTAGGTTGACTTCCTGCTTTCTTTGCGCTAGATGTAATAAGTAAAATGTGAGGTGTTTACAACACCCAACGTGGAACTTCATATGACTTTTTGCAACCATCCTCACTTTGGTGCACCAGTCGATCTATCTGTGGTGAGTTGTTTGCTTTGTCAATGCTAACGATGCTCACTACTGTTAACTAACTAATGCTAACTAATGCCAATGCTAACTAACAATTGTTCTAAAAAACTTCAGGAAATATTTAGTTTATAGGAGGTGCCCTTTGGATGTATAAATATAATAGGGTCGTAGGAATAGAATAATTTACGGCGTTCCCAAACAACAACCAATCGTATTCCGCCAGTAAGTCACAGAGACAGTTACAAATAGAAAAATACACAGAAACAAAAGTGAATTCAATCTCATATAACCGAAAGTTATAAATAGCTGTACGTCTGACAATGCTAAATTTACTCCCCACCTGACATTTCTTTCTAAGTTAGAAAAACACTTCAGTCGTGAGTTTATATCTTCACATAATGAAATATAATGCTTATTATCACACAAAAAATAAAATAATCTCATTATATATACATATGCACTAATTTTTAACCAATAAATAAGAGAGTTTGTATTTTTATAAATTAATAAGATTATTAATTTTTGTATAATTTAACGTCGGCTCTTTCCTCTAATAAAACAAACCGACTACGAGTGTGTTGGATGGGAACATCCCCTTGACATGGGTTCCAAAGTACCTTCAAATTTCTGCCTTATGACTCACCCCTCTGTTCTGCAAGTTTATTCTCACAAATTTTCCCATAACAGGCTTCGTTTGGTTATGCTTACCCATCATAGACATAATCAGAGTTCATCTTACTTCACAGAGTAGTTTCGTACAATGGCGATGAACTTTTCTCATGCCCTCCGTTGAAGCAACGATCTGCCGGCTCGCCTCTCCAGAATTGTACAGTTTGTTGTAGAACAACTTTCCAGCAATTCTCCCAACCGTAATAAGCAATGTGCATGGGTTATATCCCACTATGCATAAATAAATAGAATGCAAACGCTTACTAGTG